CTTAAATAAATGATTAAAAAATAAAAAAATGTTAATAAGTTAGATCTAAAAAAAATTAATAGACTTAATATATATATTTTTAGGGTAATATATTTCAAAACTATATCATTTAAATGAACTTTAGTTAAAATAAATAGACTAAATTAACATCTTTTAGGGTAAGAATGAAGACTACATTAATATTTTTCACCTTATTTTTTTTGCAAGTCTAGTAAATAAATATTAATTTCATATAACATATAGTTTCTTTTTTGATATTATTACAAAATTTGATGAACTTTGAATTAGAATATCAAATCCAATTGTTGAATTGATAGAATATATATTATAAAAAGAATTATAATTAATTTAATTTTTTTTAAAACTCAAATAAAATTATTTCTCTTAAAAATTAATTACAAAAAAAGAAATGGTCCCTTTACCTACGTCCTAAATATTTTCTTTAAATTCAAGATGATTCCTATAATTCAAACATTAAAAACAAATTTGTACTAATAAAAAATTGATGTACTCTATTAAATATTTTTCCAAAGCTTAGGGGGCGCGGCTGCCCCACATTGTCCCATGGTGGCTCCGTCCCTGGGTGTGACCCAGAAGCAGACAACAACAACTAGACAACAGCTGGACAGACTTTGAAGTTGGGAGTTGGGACTCACTGTATGTGTGTTGGGATTTTTAGAGGACTACAATTCCACGCAAATAAAAGTTACATAAAAATTAATATAATAATTTAAAAAATTAATGTGTATCAGTTTTGATTTTTAAAAAAATTAAAGTTTTAATTTATATTTAAAAATTAAAATTTTAACTCAAAATTTAAAATTTTAATCAATTTTTAAATCTAAATATCAATATTTAATAAGATAAATTTTAAAATTTAAATTGAATTTTAATTAAATAAAATAACATAATTTAAAACTAAAATTTTAATTTTTTTTAAGAGTTAAAATTGACATATATTTTTTTCATAATGAGTTAATGTGATTTAATTTATATACTTTACAATAAATTTGTGTTTATAAGAAAGTGAGAAATTAACTTTCTATTAACAAAGATAATGTAATAATTTAAAAGATATCTCATCTAAAAAACTTTTAAATTCTCTCTTCAATACTCTCACTTAATTTCTGGATTATTTCACTATTTTTTCTTTCGTCTCTCTCACAATCGTACTTGGTACTTGCTCAATGCTCATTTACCTCTTTTCAATAGCTCTCGCTTGTATCTTCTTCCTCGTACTAAGCATTATTTATAGAGCTCATCAACTCAGAGAGTAAGTGCGAACAAGTCGAACAAAAATAATAAGAGTTTTGGTTAAACTAAAATCCATGATTTAATTTATAGTCAATATATTACCCAACAACATGCTCCAATGTACTTTAAAAAGAAAAAAAAAAGGCCGATCAGAACTGCTGTAGGGTGGCGCCATGCGCAGCAATAGGTTGGGGAAAACTTCTGTGATCAAGCAACATGACAATAAATGCCATGGGTACCACCTTTTGTCCGTTTTAATTTTTATATTTTAGGTGATTTTTTTTATATGACATGAATAATAAT